TATTTTGCCCCACTTGTTTGGAATAGGCTTCCAAAAACTATCAGAGAAGCAGAAAATCTAGAAAATTTTAAAAAGAAACTAAAATCATTTCTATTTTCATCATATTTCTATTAGACAGAATCCATCCAAGCTGTAGATCGTTGTGAGTTTGTATGTGCGTATGTGCATATGTACGTATGTGTGTATGCATGTGTGTATGCATGTGTGTATGGTGCGTGCATGCGTGAATATGTGTGTGCACGAGTATGTAACACTATGTGCCTTTAAAATTGATTCGTAAATCCATAATATGTATCATGTTAAGCGCATAGAGCATTGCATAAGTGGATACGCGCTATATAAATGCAATCCATTATTATTAATTTATTATTATTTCTCCTGAAGTAATTTTTCAGCACATCGGCGCTGCAAGATTCAAATGTACACATTTCAGAAGGACACGTCATCTTGACATTAAATATTCTGCTTCTCTTCCTTCACCGTCAAGTCACAGATCTAAAACGGACATCCACAGTTGAGGCTTCCCATTCACATTTATCCACTCAGATGCTCTCGAATAAAAATCAAAGGCACAGATGATATTTCTTCACCATCACCATCATCCTTTCTCACCCCGAGTCAGAGTATAGGCCACAAACAAGACAGATATATATATATATATATATCGTTGCCATTGTATCAAGATCAGATATGTGACATTGGGTAAATTTTTCAGAAGGAAAAAAACTAATTTATTAAAAGGAAGGCCCGGAGTTATCCAATTTTTATACTGTAAGAAAAGTCAGTTTTTGTTTGTTTATTTGAATATACATTTTTAACCTGCATTTGAAACAAGTTTAGTAGAATATGTTTCATGAAAAAAAACAACATCTGAAATTTTGTTGTTCTGCTATTTCCTCACCATGGTGGACGATATTTTCCACGCCAAAATAAATCCAACAGAGTACTTTTCCGATCCAGCGGCTAAAAATCCAATAGAGAGATTTCAACCTGTGAGAAAGGTTTTTTCTCCAGCCTAGACAGAACTCTAGTCAGCAAGCCACTGGAACCTGAACATGTCTCGAATCCGACACAACTGGAACAATCATCATGCCTTGCTTACAAGCACAGGAAGAGCACACAAGTTTCTTTGACGAACCAAACGATAAATAATAGATCTCTATGTGTCACGATGCGGTGAAATCAGGCGCTCGTCAATTGTTGTGCACATGGGGTTGTGGTACTGTCTTAAAACTGTCCATTTGCCTTCATTTTCGTGAAAAAAAAAGTTAATCTATGTTGAACAGAAGTCGAAACATTTGCGATTGAATGAGGTCAGGGTTGCCTGGTTTCAGAGGTAAAATTTGCGAGAAAATGGCCGCCAAAGTTAGGTAACTTCAATAGCTCGAGAGTCCTTGTAAATTTATAATTTACATTTTCTGTGCCTTTAATCAATGTTTTTCAGTAAAATCCACAAAAATTTTTATAAATATGGACATAAAAGGTGTTGAGAGCAAAAAATAAAAACAACCCATCAGCCGAAAAAATGCAGATTTCATTGATCTCATTATTTTGACGAGCGCCTGATTTCACCACAATGTCTCACATATAATAATATATCATAATATATATAATACCAAATGAGATGAATACATATAATAAATATATATGAAAAATCAGTTGACCTGCCTCATGGGCAGGCAGTTGGTTTGTGAGAGGACGTTGTGGCCACCCTAAAGTCCCACGCCCAGAAGAAAAAACCAGAACAGCAAGTGTAGAGAGATACTGAGTGAGTGATAACATTTCTGGAGCAAAACAAACTCAGGTGCACTTTTATCGGAAAAACGAAAGAAATCATAGGAGAGCAGGACTCGAACTTGGAACTCTTGTACTCAGAAGCCAACAACAGACACTTCACTTCACCAAATCATCCCAACATTTAACCAGGGAAATGAAAGAAATAAAGCAAGAGTTTATATACACAAACATTCGGTTTAGTAGTAAATACAGAAAATATAAGAGAATAAAGCAAAGATGTTGATAATAAACAATAAACTTATTATTATGTTCATATTCAAACTGCTGAACAGACAATCACACAAAACAAGTTCACACAACGACAGGACATCATGTGTAAACAACAGTAGGAAATATTATAAGGCAACTCTGTTCAGTTTTGAATAAAAAGGAAGTTTTGAGATTGATTTACAGTACAGCGGGTTCAAAGTCAGGACTAAGACAGTTAAACCTCGTTATACCGCCACCAGTTAAACCTCATTATCCTGTCACCCTTGAGACGAGTGCCAAGTTGGCGGAATAGCGGGGTTGGTGGTATAATGGGGCTCCTCTGTGAAATAGCTGTCAAGGGAAATGATTCCGCTGAGCGATTTGTGTTTGAAAAATGTCTTTTTGCTTGCGTTTTTTGTGTACATGTATTAAAAGCTGTTTAGTGTGTGTGTGTGTGTGTGTGTGTGTGTGTGTGTGTGAGTGTGTGTGTTTGTGTGTATGTGGTCACAAACTGAAACTCAGCTGAAGTTTACTAAAATTCAAATCAAAACTTTCAGCCATGTCATAAGCGAAGCTGTAATTATGTGTCAAGGACCCTGCAAACATTTGAGGATGTCTTTTTTGGGTTTGTTTTTACCCGATACTCAACAATCCTCGGACCACCTAATACCAGTCATATATTATAGATTTGAGTGCGGGTCTGCACAAAATTAAAAACCTGACTGGTTCCCAAATGCATTGGGGTCATCGGGCTGATATCTGGGAACGCCAGATATTTTGCCGGCAAGCGGAGGTGCCGTGGGAGAGAGATTATATAATATCATGCAGTCAACGAGTCGTTGCTATGCGTCGTGTGTGGTGTGTACTTTTGGCGACCAGTTAGCCAGCAGTATGGTGAGGAAAATTGACACTAACTTCATAAGGGCTGTACATTTCAGACAGTTGGAAAGATCGCTGTGTGAAGACTTAAATACTTTGTTACTTTGTTTATACAAGAGTTCCTTTTCCGTACATTGGCAAAACCTGGCAGTATGTGAGTGGGGGTTTTTTTTTTGGGGGGGGGGGGGTGTTGCTGCTGTATAAGGAGGTTTGACTGTACCGCGGGGGGGAACATTAAACAAAAACTAAAGTGGTAAGTTCTAAAGGGGGCATAACTGTTTTTAGAGAATCCCATGCCAGTATTTTATCCAATATAGTTTAGATCACACTGCAATATTTTACCCGATATAGTTTAGACCACAATGCAATATTCAACCGATATAGCCACACTTGTGTCTTCAACTGATATTGGGAAGGAAAAAGGTAATAGAGAGGTCTAGTAAGGAAAGAAGCAGAGAGAGAGAGAGAGAGAGAGAGAGAGAGAGAGAGAGAGAGAGAGAGAGAGGAGAGAGAGAAAGAGAGAGAGAAAGAAAGAGAGAGAGAGAGAGAGGAAGAGAGAGAGAGAGAGAGAGAGGAAGAGAGAGTGAGAGAGACAGAGGGAGTAAGTGAGAGAGAGAGAGAGAGAGTGGAAGAGAGAGTGAGAGTGAGACAGAGAGGGGAAGGGAGTGAGACAGAGAAAGAGAGGGAGGAGGAGCTTAAAGAGCAGGGGTCATGGTTAATCAACATATGCAATAACAGCAACAAAAAACAACGGTTAAACTCAAAAACCTCTCAATACAGAACGACTCAATAACACAAAAACTCTAAAACAAAACAATGAGCAAAGAACATTGGACAGAAGATAAAATAATCTTCTTTCCTGTACCCCAGCCAGTTCCTTCCAGGATGGGATATTGCTGGTGCTGGTGAAAACAGTTCAGCCGTGAAACAGCTGAAGAAAACTCAGGCCCTTTGACCTGAAATGAAAACAGCAGCAGCAAAACGTGTGGTTGAACTCTGGACGCGAACCCTGGACCTCTACACACAACAGACAAACACTCAACCAATGGACAGCTTGACCTTGACAGGGTCAGTCACATCTTGACCTTGACAGTACCCGTGACATCTTGACCGTGACAGTGCCTGCGACATCGACATCTTGACCTTGACAAGTGAAACAAGCCCTTTTCTGTTTTCGTCAGGCACAACCATGGGAGTTACCACATGACCTCTGAGGATTTCTCTCCTTTCCGTCTCAACAAGTAAACCCACGTAGGAGTCAAAGGTCATGTCAAGGTCACAATGTCAGTGGGACAACCAAGGTCAAAGCGTCACTGAGACAATCAAGGTCAAAGTGTCACCTGGACAGCCAAGGTCAAGGTGTCGCTAGGAAAGGTCAGCCAGCGAGGAATGGTAACGAAGCGCGACACTCGCAGCAGGTTTGGACAAAAGAATTCTGAACCTTTCCCTCCTTGCCAGGAGCACTTGTAGTAGTCCAATCACACACACACACATTCCAACTCCACCACACACACACACACACACATATAATCGGCTCTATCACATGGGCAGCAGGTTCTCATCCCTGACCTCCTCCACTGGGTCCAGCTGGTCGTCCCCGATCCCCCCAAAGCCCCCGGTCGAGTAGCGCCGCTCGCGAGTCCTGCACACAAACTCACAGCCGTCCTGCGGGGAGACAAGCGGGGAAAATCTAGGTCATAAGGGCAATAAATAACAACACAGAGTAGTGGCCGAGGATAACTTGTGGGGGTGGGATAGAGAGGGAGGAGATAGTAAGAGAGACAGACAGATATAATATATATATATATATATATACAGTCAAACCTGCCGTACGGCCACCTCTATAAGACGGTCACCTGCACAAACAGCCACTTTCCATTTCCCCCCTTGCGTTTTTTCTATATAATTTAACTGTGTAAAACGGGCACTTGTTCAACGCCGCCGCGGCCACCATATTTTAACACACAACCCCTATCACACTAAGAAACCTTTGTGACTCCATTACGTTTTGTCATATATTGTGCATTGGCCCCTGGCGTTGTGGGCGAGCCGTCATAATTCAATCACCTGTCCTTGTTGTTAGGTAGTCCCTCCAACCGATCATGTTGCGTAGGCCCCTCCCACTGTTGACCAATAGCTACTAATTTTCAGTTGTTGGTGAGGTAAGCGTGTGATCCCTCATAACCCATAAGCCCCGCCCAGAACTTTTACACTAATCGTAAGTGAGATGAGTGGTCACTGTTTACCCAGTCTGTAACAAAGTAACAAAGGATGTCAACATGAACTTGTGATAGAAGCGTCGCTCGTTCTCCAAGTGGTGGAGACCCATGTGTTTGTTTTAACATGGCACTCGGTCTTCCTCGTCTGATACATTTCGTTTTATTGTCACCCTTGTGCAAAATCAGCAACAAATAAAAATTAAAAACAAAATACAAACCACCACCAACAACAACAAAAACAACAACAATGCGGCTATTTTCGATTGGGACCTCAGATGGGAATGGTTTGTTTTCTTCATCTTGATCAGTCCTGCCTAAGACGGCCACCTGTCTTATACGGCCACTTTTCTCCTTGACAATGGGTGGCCGTCTTACACAGGTTTGACTGTATATATATATATATATATATATATATATATATATATATATATATATATATATATATATCATATTGTTCGAGTAGATGCCCATGATGGAATCACATAGGAAGTAGGAAAGCAGGAATAACATTATATTTTCGCAAAACGCTTAAGAACCCATTAAAAACGTCATCTGATTCTGCTGTTTCATTATAAACTGCTATATACCCTACAGAAAATTTTTGACAAACTGCAACATATCCTCCCAACCAATCAGAGCATCGAAAAAAAAAAAAGATCTTCTATCTAGGCACATTAGTGCGTTGGTAATCCAGCTATTTTATGATAAAAACGTACCGCTTGAAGATTTCCGAAATCTTTCCAGAACTCGTAGTTTGGAATCTGCTCCATGCCCTTTGAGCCCAAGACGAAGCGAGAGTAGAGGAAGCCCACCAGGAGGTAGACGGACACTATGGTGAAAAATCTGGGGCAACACAAACAACAGAAATTAGAACCTGCACAGGGAATTAAATACATCAATCAGCATCATGAGACAACAATCACTGGTTATAATAATGTATAATTAATAACGAGAAGAAAAAGAAGAAGACGAAGAAGAAGAAGAAGACGAAGAAGAAGAAGAAGAAGAAGGAGAAGAAGAAGAAGAAGAAAAAGAAGAAGAAAAAGAAGAAGAAGAAGAAGAAGAAGAAGAAGAAGAAGAAGAAGAAGAAGAAGAAGAAGAAGAAGAAGAAGAAGGAGAAGGAGAAGGAGAAGGAGAAGGAGAAGAAGAAGAAGAAGAAGAAGAAGAAGAAGAAGAATGAAATTAATTTGCTGATTTAGTAAGTGTTTTACAGCACTTGCAACACAATAAGGTCATATAAGCCCCAAAGATTAGAGGTGTTACAAGAGAGTAACAAACACAAAAGAGGAGGGGAGATAAACACGATAGATGTTTGATAGGAAAGAAGAAGCTAACCACACCAGAGCACCCGCCCACAACCCACGTATTAATTGAACTAATAATCAGTCTAATAATAATAATAATAATAACAACAATAACAGCCATGGCATATTGCCATTAGTACAAAATGATAGTGGGAAAACATTTATTCACACAATGAGCAAGATACATCGAACACTAACTCACACAATCAGCAGGATAGAGCCAAATTTTACTCACACAATCAGCAGGATAGAGCCAAATTTTACTCACACAATCAGCAGGATAGAGCCATCATTTACTCACACAATCAGCAGGATAGAGCTACCGTTTACTCACAGAACAGACCCAACATTTACTCACAGGATAGAGCCTACATTTACTCACACAATCAGCGGATAGAGCCATTTACTCACAAGATAGACCCAACATTACCTCACATGGTAGAGCCACCATTTACTCACAGGATAGAACCATCACTTACTCACACAATCAGCGGATAGAGCCATCATTTACTCACAGGATAGAGTCACCATTTACTCACAGGATAGAGTCACCATTTACTCACAGGATAGAGCCATCATTTACTCACACAATCAGCAGGATAGAGGCACCATTTACTCACAGGATAGAGCCACCATTTACTCACACGGTCAGCGGATAGAGCCACTATTTACTCACAAGATAGACCCAACATTTACTTACAGAATAGAGCCACCATTTACTCACAGGATAGAGCCATCATAAAATCATATACTCACACAAATCAGCGGATAGACCCAACATTTACTCACAGTCACTGGATATAGCCACCATTTACTCACAGGATAAAGCCATCATTTACTCACACAATCAGCGGATAGAGTCACCATTTACTCATAGGATAGACCCAACATTTACTCACAGGATAGAGCCAACATTTACTCACACAGTCAGCAAGATAGAGCCAACAATTACAAACAGGACAGAGCCAACATTTACTCACACAATCAGCAGGATGGAGCCAACGCTGAGTCCCGAGCTGGCGGTCTCTGCAGGACACAGAGCCTGGTGCTTCATCTCAAACAAATAGTAACACAACTTGGACTCCTCCATGTACACCATCTCTGCATTGCTCTGTTGAGACACACGCCAAACGGGACAGGCTTAGCACCCCTCGCATGTTAAGCTACATGGGACAGGTTTAGCACCCCTCGCATGTTAAGCTACACGGGACAGGTTTAGCATCCCTCGCATGTTAAGCCACATGGGACAGATTTAGCACCCCTCGCATGTTAAGCTACACAGGACGGGTTTAGCATCCCTCGCATGTTAAGCCACATGGGACAGGTTTAGCACCCCTCGCATGTTAAGCCACATGGGACAGGTTTAGCACCCCTTGCATGTTAAGCCACATGGGACAGGTTTAGCACCCCTCGCATGTTAAGCCACATGGGACAGGTTTAGCATCCCTCGCATGTTAAGCCACATGGGACAGGTTTAACACCCCTCGCAACATGCCACAGGCAGGTTTAACACCCCTCACATGTTAAGCCACATGGGACAGGTTTAACATCCCTTCCAACACACCACAACATGGGACAGGTTTACAACCCTCGCAACATGCCACATGGGATAGGTTTAACAAACCTCGCAACATGCCACATGGGATAGGTTTAACAAACCTCGCAACATGCCACATGGGATAGGTCTAACAACCCTTGCAACATGCCACATGGGACAGGTTTACAACCCTTTAAACATGCTACATGGGACAGGTTACGCATGTTAAGCTACACGGGACAGGTTTAGCACCCCTCATAACACGCCACATGGGACAGGTTTACAACTCTTGCAACATGCCACATGGGACAGGTTTACAACCCTCGCAACACGCCACATGGGACAGGTTTACAACCCTTTAAACATGCCACATGGGACAGGTTAAGCACTCTCGCATGTTAAGCTATATGGGACAGGTTTACAACCCTTTAAACACGCCACATGGGACAGGTTTACAACCCTTTAAACACGCCACATGGGACAGGTTTACAACCCTCGCAACACGCCACATGGGACAGGTTTACAACCCTCGCAACACGCCACATGGGACAGGTTTACAACCCTCGCAACAATTTTTACTCTCCATCTCCAACAGAACCGAGTCCCACGAAAAAATTTGTGTGAAGTGCCTTTCTCAAAGACACAGAGATGGACTGAGCTGAGCCTTGAACCCCCGATCCCACAATCTCAAGATTAAGAGTCTGGTAGTTGCAGTTGCGAGCGCTGTAAAACCTCTACTAAAACTAAAACTAAGACTTGACTACCAATACCAAACACAACCTCACAATTAGGAGTCCGGTACCTATACCATTAGGCTACTGACGCCTCAGTCTCACAAGTACCAGACTAAACTATAACCAAAGATAGTACATGACAAGATGGGCCACTCAGCCAAAAAAGTGTCCGCCGGAAGTCCGCTCTTTGCTTCAGATGGCGCTGCAGTCTGTTTTGAAGCTCTCTTTCGTTTTTCCAGAAGAAGAATAGGAATAGCACCTTCTTGCATGCGCAGATCGACTGCTGTTCATCAGCAGTTCGGTTTCGTTCAGTACGGAGTTTAAGGTTCTTTTTATTTAATGACCTCTCGCCTTTCATTCTAAAGTCAAATTAAACGAAGAAAACAATCACCCCTTCCTCCGGAAAAGGTTTCTAGTCAGCGTAACCATTTTAAAAAAGCGTTCTTCCGAAATTTATCCCAAAACTTGCTAGTTTCACTTTAATTTTTTAAACACAAGTAGGGTAACTCTGTTCGCAAAAAGTGCGCATTTGCGAAGAGGACGCCACAGAATTTTGAGGACACTTTTTTAATTGGCTCAAAGAGAGGAGTGGCCCCTCTTGTTATGTAGACTCTTTGCTATAACTCATACACTATTGTACCATCATATAAATGGCAGACTTTTATTTATTATAACACAAGCACTGATGACTGTTTCGTTTCAGATTTTTAGCAAGAATTCCAAAGATTAGTGGAGTTACTAGAGCTAGAGAATAACATAAACAGAAAATAAGAACGAGAGTAAGGACAACAGATGTTTGATAGGAATAAAGGAGCAGACCACACAAGAGCACCCGCCAAGCACCCATGATGTCAGTTGTGACAGATCAGTCCCTATAGATAGAAGGGATATATTCTACGAAAAACCACAAACCTCCTCCCTCCTCCACAAACTTCCTCCCTTATGCTTAAAACTCCTCCCTCCTCAGGGGTGCCGGTAGCCTAGTGGTTAGGCTACCGGACTCGTAATCGTGAGATTGCGGGTTCGGGGGTTCGAGCCTCAGCTCGGTCCGACGTTGTGTCCTTGGGAAAGGCACTTTACACGAACTTCCCACTCGGCTCCGCCCTATCGGAGATGGATGTTAAACTAGGAGGTCCCGCCCCTTAAATAATCAAATAGTGTTGATAGGGGCGTTAAACCCATACCATTTCACCATTTTTTTCCTCCCTCTTCCACAAACCTCCTCCCTCCTCCACCAACCTGTCCCCGTCATTTTATGAAAGAAAAATTCTGAAATTACGTAAACTGAACCCAAAAATGTGAAATTATGCGATTCTGTTAATTTTAACAAAAAATGATAAAGGAAAATAATCAGAAATTATGTAAAAAATGATCAAATTTTGCTAAATTATGCAGGGAGCATAAAACGATGGGGACAGACAAACAAACCTCCTCCCTCTCCCACAAACAAACCTCCTCCCTCCGCAAAAAAAACCAAACCTCCTCCCTTCCGCACAAAACAAACCTCCTCCCTCCCCCACAAACAAACTTCCTCCCTTTTTCCACAAACAAACCTCCTCCCTCCCCCACAAACCGTCTGCATAAACCTCCTCCCTTCCGCACAAACCTTCTCCCCTCCGCATGCCAACTTGTATCATCGAGCCAACTTACATCATCAACGTCTGGGTCACACTGCAGCATGATGACCGTGCGGCGTTCCTCCTCGTTACAGTGGCCATGGTAATAATTGTCCCCGTTCCGGTACTCCAGCACCGCCCAGTCCGCTGGCGACAAAACACACCGCACACGTCAGACGAAATTCAGCTGGCATCTTAAATAACAAAACTGACAAGTATCGTCAGCCTGATACTCTGTGCACATCATTAAAATTAAGTATCGTCAGCCTGATACTCAGTGCACAGTGACCAAACAAAAACGTTCTAAAAAAAAAATCTTGGTCAACTGAGTCTCGAAGAGTACTCATCTGTCTGTTGGGCTGTGTTTCATAGATGTGCGTAAAAGTGTGGTGTTGATGAAAATAATATGTCAACCTTTTTATGTTCAGGGGACATGCTGAGAATCCGTAGTATATTTTTTTACCCATTTTAGGTTAACATCAAAGAAAACCTATAGCAACCTTGGTTTCCACTGGCCATTAATTAAATAAGCTTACCATTTAAATCATTACAAAATCTTGTCTTATCTTATCTAGATCTATTTAAATCATTACAAAATCCAGTCTTATCTGACCAAGATCTGTTTAAATCATTACAAAATCCAGTCTTATCTTACTTATCATATCCGACAATTTCAACTTAATTCAGATACACATTACATCTAGGTCCATCTAAACCATTTCTACGAACCCAGAATTTCCATTTCCAATATAAAGCAGCCTGTAACAGGTCAGAGTCTGATGGTACCGGCAGTCAAGGTTAAAATTTTCTGTCAATGTATGTGTCATGATGCGGTGAAATCAGGCACTCGTCAATTTTTGGGCTTATGAAGTTATTGGTGTACTCTTAAAATCTAATTGTTTGCATTGATTTTAAAGAAAATAACACCCATCTATCTTGTATAAAACTTAAGATATTTGCGATTGAATGAGGTGGAAGTCTTCTGGCTTCATAGGTAAAATTAGCGACAAAATGGCCACCAAATTATGGTGACCTCTATAAATGAGATTAGCAAGAAACAGAAAATTTACCCTTTTTTCGTACCTTTCATCGTTTTTCGTAAAATCCATGCAGAAATGTTTTTTTTTAAATGGACAAAACAGGTGATGAGCAAAAGAACAAAAATTCAATTTCATAGCTGCCACTCAGGAATTTTAAAAAAGGAGGAAATTCACGCAAAGGCGTACACGCGCTCTCCGAAGGCGGAGTAATACCAGTGAGATCCAGAGGCAATATTATATATTGGAACATCTAGCCTATGTATATGTTAACCATATGCTACTGAATTAAAATTATGTTGTTGTTGTTAGCAATCCAGTAGCATCTGAGCGTTAACTCTTCTGCATGATGCCATTCGGTAATAGTTGCATGTTTGTTCTAATTGTTATCTTGAGGAGTAGAGGCAATTAGATGTATGGGGCAGCTTGGGAAGAAAACATCCCCTTAAATCAGTTAGTTTTCAACAGAAGAACAGATGATGTTCCACTGTCTCTGAGGGGTAGTCACATAGTGGGCAGGCAGCAGACTGCTTTACTCCAATTCGGTTGAGATGTTGGTTGAGGGGTACATGTTGTATTCTAAGTTGGAAGATTATGGATTGATCTCCCCTCCTCAACTCATTGATTGGATCTTTGACCAGTGGTTTATTCATGTGGCCATACATCCTCCTTCCTGTCGTACCTGTGGCCCAATCATTCATCCACTCTTCCTTGAGGTTTGACTTGAGAATTAAAATTATGTATTTAAAAAAAACAAAAAAACCCAAAAGGCAAGGCACTAAGTTGACTAACTAGCATTTGACACAGTTTGGAGACTAAAATTCCAGTGTTTGTTGCCAGCTGGTGTCTCATAAAAAGATTTCTTTCCCTTTCAACTTGTGCATTGATTTAGAGCAGTAGTATTGGATCAAGGAGGCAACACCTTTGCCACTGTACTGAGCAATTTCCCTATCGCACCAAACACAAAGTGCAGCAAGCGGCTTGTTAAATGTTCTAATGAACTTTTCAAGTCGCACACCATCTGCTTCTTTCTCATTCCAGCTCCTTTTATTTTAGCATTCTGTAATCAGTTTCTCTCAAATTTCCGCCGTTTTTAATGACAACTCGGCGCGCCAACGTCCTGATGCTCGATCGAAACTGTTGCTCCACAATAAACAATTGGAAACTAGCACTAGGCACAGAAGAACGGAAGTAGAAAGCTATGGGCGGACATGCGCAAGCCGCATTTTCGTCTCTCTCCCGGTTCTGTGTTTTCCGCGAGTAAAAAAAAAAGTATCGCAATTTGCGACAAGAGCTGTCCAGCGGAGGAAGGAAGAAAATAGCGGGAAAAGCTGGATGAAGGGGAGTTTCCGCTATTTAGCGGAAAAGTGGCAGCTCTGAAAAAATTGCAGAAGCAGTGGGAAAATGCCCGATTTCTTCGATTTTATTATTTTGTCGAGCACCTGATTTCACCACCATGCATCACATATTCCATACTGTTGAGGAACGTGTTTACTCACTGCCAGACATGATGTGGGTGTTTTTCAAAGAGCCGATGTTGTGAATTTCCGGCTGCAGTTTCCCGTTGTTCAAGATCTGCTTGGTGACTGCGAAGTCAGGCTGCGATTTTGAGACACTGGCGCAAATACCAACCCTGAACTTATATATATCTCCATTTTTTACTGTCGCTTGAGAGGAAAATCTGGTGACAAATGCGGAAAGAGCGAAAGTGAGTACAAATACACAACTAAAACAGATACTATTGACACATAAAGACAGAGAGGGAGAGTAAGAACAAGGAAACAAGTACAGATGCTTTTTTGACAAATTAGCTCATTTGAGTCTCGGGTATAAAAATTTTCAGAACTGGAGTCTAGGCATTTTATGAGGTGTTTTTTTTTAGTTCACAAGAATTTAACCACATACACAACATACATCAAATCTACACTACAGAAACACCAGTATTAACACATTTCAGTGACAAAAAAACCCCAACCCTGCTATAGTTTTTGTTTGATGGACCTTTCAAAAAATGGAGTAAATTTTAACGCACGCAGAAATTATTTTAAGAGTGCTTTTCTAAACAGGGATTTAGTAAATGCAGATAAAAATGTTTAATTTAAGTGTAAAAAGTAGTTCCCACATCCCATCCGGACATTGGGGATTGCCTTGTTAGAGAGACAACTTCCTGGGCCTTTGGCATATTGTGGTGGGGTGGCCAGTTCCTTTCCACGCCGCCTTTACTTCCCCAACTCGAAGTCAGGTACAGTACCCGTTACTACTGGGTGGGCAGGAGGGTGTGAAAAAAAATCTGTGTCCCGTGAGGCTCGAACCTGAACTTTCCACTTCAGAGACGAGCGCACTAACCGCTCCAGCACCGCACCCTCTGATTTAAGTGTATAAAAATAATAATATATAGTTGGTTTGTCAATGCCTGATGATGACGACCATTGCATCCGCAGAGAAGAATATTTCTCAAGCGAAATAGAAGAATTAAGGTTGAGATGAATTGTGGTTTCTGCAATGAGACCAATTCTGGCACAGAAAAGTTTGCCACATTTTGAGCATTGGGAAGCAAAGTAAGAAAGAAAAAGTAGGAACTAAGAACGAAAAAAAAAAGAGAAAAAAACAAAGACAGATGGTGTTGACATTTAAGAAAGAGAGTAAAAGTGAGAAAAAAGAAACAGAAGATTATTCTAACATGAATGATGCCAGCCCTATGCTTCCACTGAAAAAAAACCCCCCAACACATCCAAGTTTCCTGCGTGCTATCTATGATGGGCACACCATGAGTGTGGGACCCGTAAGTTTCTCCAGATAAAGGACAAAGTTTTCAATCCAGTCTACCTTTGAATCAAAAGAGTACAAACTCCCCCCCCCCCAAAAAAAACCGACCCCAAACAAACCTCAGATCTATCAACCAACCGGCCGACCAAGCTTGCACAAACCAGAAATTGAACCGGGTGTAGTGTATATCTGCACAACAGATGATTGTTTGGATCGATACTGCTTCGCCCTCTCCTCTCCCTTTTATTTGTTCCTCGATCTCACAGTTTCTGTTCCTCTTTCTACACACAAGAATTGAACAGAAACACAGTTTGGTGTACTCTCCTTTGATGCATACACGTGTGAATTACCCTCCCCCCGCCCCCTCCTCAAATTGTTCAACAAACAGCAAATAAAACTTACACACGACCGATAAGGGATGCGATCCGTGCCAAGCCTTCCTTGGTTTCCTCTTCACTCTCGTAAGTGGAGAAAGCGCATTTGTTCTCAACTTCCTTGGCGCCGCTACTTCTGACGTAGAGCAGGGAAGCCACCAGGAAGATCAAAGCTAAATGCTGCTGCAAAACACCGACCGGCTTCATCATGGGAACTAAAGAAGCTGGGGGGGGGGGGGGGGGAAATTGACAAAGTAGACTACATCTTGATCACATATAAAGAGTTGTAACATAAGCCTTCTAGGTTTGGTGGGAGGGGGGGGGGGGAGGGTTGTTGGTTATGTGGGCTAAGATAGCAAAAATAAGCATTTGTGTCACAGCGTGGTGGAATCAGGTGCTCGTCAATTTTGAGGCATATATGGAGTTTTTGGTACCATCTTAAAGCCTGTCCATTCATCTTGTTTTGAAGTAAAAAAATATCCATTTATCTTGAATACAAGTCAAGATATTGGCGATTGAAGGAGGTGGGGGTAGGCTGGTTTCAGAGGTAAAATTAGTGAGAAAATGCCCGCTAAAGTTGCGTTATTTCCTTAGCTTGAGTGTCCGTGGAAATTGAAAATTTACATCTTTTAGGCCGTAAACCAACGCTTCTCAGTAAAATCGATACAGGAATGTTCTCTTGAATGGAAATGAAAGTTGTTGAGCTAAAGCCAAACCAAAAAAGAAAAATTCAATAAAAATTCCCAAACCTGCGGACACTGGCCTGGTAAGTGTGAGGTTACCCTTTCGTGCTCAGAGAGCATTGCAATTTTATTTTATTTAGTTAGAGAGCATCGTCAATGGGTTAAATTTGAAATGACTAAGAGTCCCTTTACACGTACAGTTCATTCATTGACAAACTGACAGTTTAACCGACAGACGCTAGATCTGGGTCATCATTGAACTGAAAGTTCGTCGACGAAAGAAGTTCTATTTAGATGTACAGCTTTTTTTTATCCTTTAAGTGTCAGTCCTTGACAAAACACACAATACACACTAAAAAAAAATTAACTTGATAATCCGGTATTAAATCTAAATTGTGTTCCCTGCGTGATTTGGACTAATTTTGGGTAGCTGATCATGAATTCTTTTTTTTTTTTTTTTAATTCGATGAATATTTTGGAAAATTTTGGAATGCATTTTCAACTCTGCCTGAGGCAACATCTAAGAAGCCGCTCCCTCGTCGTCAGGCCTTCAGTTCGCTGGCCGGAAAATATCTGGTCCCTGGACAGAGAACCCTTCGATATTGAGAGGATTTCTCGCTTCCACATCCAGTTTTACCGGGAAGTTGACCGAATGCCCGCCATTCTTTCAATATTCAACAGTTTGTTGATCAATGAACTGTACGTGTAAATGGGGCCTAAGATGGTACTCCTGTACAATTGCGGTCCTGTTTAGGGATACTCATTTTGACCCCTCCAACGATTACTTCTGGTTCTAAACGATTACTTCTTGATGCGCGTGCCAATACGCCTAATGGAGAGAGCCAATCAAACCTAATTGCAAAAGATCAAATTATGGTTAAAACTCAGTGGAGCAAGCCCCCCTGAAACCCCCTTACCTTGTTATATAAAAAAGTGAAATTTTACTGCTCATTTTGTTGGCTAGATCTGCTGATAAAACATCCATACCGAAAGTTTAAATCAGTATAGATTATATCTAGACATAGATCTATATTCGATATCCAGTAGTATTTGCTTGTGTGATTTAGTGCTAAAGTCTAGATCTAGAATCTAGATCTAGATCTAAGCGACCACAATTCGTCCCTCAAAACACGAACTAGCATAAGCCACATTTTGTTAGTTTTGCAGGAGAGACGTTTAAAGATTTGAGCGATTTTCACCATCCCATTTTGGCATCAAATAACCGATCCTGTCCTTAATATTTTGACATAACGTGTGTGGGCCAACTACTTTTCAATTGGCTAGAAGCATCTTTGTAAGAATAGTTGGTTTTGAAGGAAAAATGACCTTTTTGTCCGATACGCTAGTACGTGCTACTTCGATGAAAGCCTCGATGTGTGGCTTACGTTACTAAATTGTTGGATACATTAGTACGTGCTTTTGTATTCTAAAGCGTATATATACGTTCATTGCGTGGCTTACGCCTAAATAGTAACTTCCAAATAACAATAGAAATACAAAGAAAGATCAATTTGGTATAAATTCACGGGCTGTATTATCCGAGACAAATGGTAATGTTAACAGCTACTCGGGATATAAGATGTCAACTATATAATATGATTTTTTTTAAAATAGTAACTCACAGTATGATATTGTTCCAAGACAATGAGTCTTCTGTATCAGATCCTCTTCATGCATCCAGGATTCTGAAGTCCTTTGATAAGCCTTTGATATCCAGAGAGTCTTTAGACTGCATCTGATTAACCAGGTGAGGTTTTTGATGTCGAGCGAGAGACATCACTGTTGCTACCTTAGAACAAATCCCCAGCGCTCTTCAGGGCATGTCCTATTGCACTGTGTGTAGAATCACCCTCGTTCTGACGATGGTTTGTTTCAAAGAACCTCCATGAAATCTCTTCAAGATTCACACTTTTGTTCACTGTGTACAAAATCATCGCAGGCGTAATCAAATTTTTTATCTGACCACTGTATCCATCGGCAAAAAGAAAAGCTTTTTTGATGCCACGGTCATCATAAAATTTCAGGGCATGGTGGACTGTAGCTGAAATTTCCGAGGATCCACGTTTGCTTTGCGTTTCATCCCAAGAGCAGCAGTGACAATCTCTGTTAGCAATGTTATACAAAGTCAGGTTGTTGTTCGACAACCTCCTTTTGTAAAAGATGGCGCTCTCCTGAGACATAGGGAGGTTAATGACCTGCTGCAAATCAAAACTTGCAGAGAGAATGTTTTCACTTTCCTGAGCTTCTTTCTTGCACTTGCATACCTTTATTTCCCTAACCTTTTTCTTTTTCTCCCACTTGGATCTCAAACTTTTCCCTAAGACCCGTCTTTGATTCTTTATTTCCTTGATGATAATTGACACAAAGAGAGCACTGGTCTTTATTGGACCGGTGGATTGACAGATTTTTACTTTTGAATACAAGGTTGTGTGTAGTGAAGCTTGGACTTGAAGGCCATGTTCTGGGTATCTATTCCTGGATCCTGGATGAACATGTGGTACATGTGCTGTTTGCTGAGTTCAGGGCTCAGATACTCTCTTGTTGATTTTTCTTTACAGTAATGAGATTTGACTTTAGGAAATCTGTCCAAGTGATCTGATATTGCTTTGCGCACAAATGCATCCCTTTCTCTTTCTGCCTCAGATTGTCTCCCACTTTGTTTGTCCTTCTCAGCTATACCAGTGGACGTAACTTTGTTCTATGCCGTTCTGGTGCTTTGTTCTGAAATGCCCAAAGTGTTAAAGAAAAACAATTTGCAGACTGGAACAAAACTCTCCCCAACTGTAAGCATGGTATTACTTCATCGTGATTCGCCTTCAGTGTATTTCCTCTTGGTTTTTACAGCATTTGACATGCCTCACAAGAAACTCCCGTTTCATTCTTAGATCTTCAAGCAAGTGATATGAGAGTAAAAAATAGCCTGCCTCTGCTCGTCAGTAATTGTTGAGCATTGTTTCTTGTGTTTTGTACACGTGTCTCCTTTACATCTTGCTTTATTTATGTGTTTGGAAGGCTCCTTCTTTTTTGTCTTCATGCTTGTGTACTCTTGTCCCAAATTCCTCTTCATTTTGGATTCCTTCTGCTTGTTTGATCTGAGTTTCTCTTCCTTTCTCACTTCCCTCCATTGTGTACTGCTCGGGAACTGATCTTTGCATTCTTCCACCCCCCCTCATCAATGACCGTTTCCTTTGTCTGAAACTGATTGGGAGCATCAGTGTTCACATTCACACCAGCGGGAATCTTAAACTTTGAGGGCCTACCTACAGCTTTTACACGTTGTATTTTTTCCTTTGACCTTCTTGTGCTTTTCCCATGTTGAACACATGATGCAATCTCTTCATTGAAATGATAAAAGCAAAGAAGAATTTCACAATCAGGACAAGCCGCCCATACTTCAGCATTGCACTTTCTGGCCCCGCATGTTCCAGGATAGAATTCCAGATCGCCATCTGAGTCGTAGTCACACACTGACATTTCATCACTGTCTGCCTCACTAAGCATATCAGTGTCCTTGAAGCACATACGTGTGTATCTATTTGTCCCTTAAAATTCTCAGTGGCAGTAGGACACCCATGACTTATGCAGTCTGTGAATTTAAGACTTCACCAGGGTTCTGAATGTCAATCAGAGTTTGAACAGCAGGGCTCACATGTCAAAGAAAGAGTGGTTGTTCAAAGCGGGATCCCATTTGTAAACAAAGGACGAGTAGGGACTTTTAGAAGTGGAGTCTGAGCATTCACTGTCTCACACGAAGCACACTGCACACGCGGGCGAGTGTGTAGTTTAGCTTGTCTTCCCGCTTTCTAGAAGCGCTGCGCGATGTTTTTTTGCCATAGGCTCAGCCCTGGCTGTGTGGCTTACATTAGTACGTGCCGTATAATTAAAACACAACAATGGGTCAAAGTGTACGTCACGCACTAGCGTTTAACCAACAGTGTGTTAGTACGTGCTGTATCTTTAAATTGTGGGCAAGTGGGATACGTTCAAACTAGAATCAACTATATCTCAGCTATTTAATGCTCGATTCCTACAATCTTTTGAGAGGATGTAATCTAGAGGCCACCTCTATTCTCACCCGGAGTGAGAATAGTGCAGGCGAGTCTTGTGGCTATTCTCACCCGGTGCGCGTTCACCAAATTTTGCGTTCACCCTAAACCACAGAATTCTACACTGTGATAACAGAAAAATGTAGAATTCTGTGCCGTGAACAAACGTTCCATTACAATTGTAGCCTACTAAAAGCGTACAATTTTGTCTGTGGGCAGTGGAGAGAGAGAGAGAAAGAGAGAGAGGAGTAGCGCGAGAATTTCCGGACAAAACAAAATGGCGACCCGCGTTGTTCGGCTCGATTCGAAAAGTTAAATAGCCGTAGCATCTTTGTAGACAACCAAATTTATTTACTTTTGTGTTTTAACATCATTTTTTAACTTTGTTTTGGTTAATTTGATCGTCCACACCGATAGACAGTATTCAGAAAGAGACAGAGAGAAGAGGGGAGTAGTTGATCTTGCGAGAACTTCCGGGCGGGTGAGAATAGCCACTTTCTAATCTAGACGTCTAGTATCGGATAAAGGGAATCGCATGATTGGTATAACTCGATTTCGGGTCAGATGTGGCTTATGCTAGTATGTGTTTAGAGGGACGAAATGTACAGGAGTGCCCCTAAGCCCTAAGACTGCATCATTGTCAATTTCAACTTCACTCACACTCACGGCCCACAGGCCTGCGGCCTGACACAGAAGATGCCGAAACGCAACGACATCTTTGTTGACTAGAATCTAGATCTAGATATTAGATCTAGCTAGATCTAGATTCTAGGTGCGGGAAGTCGGCATCAGCAGGAGAAGACAGAAGACAGATGACAAGAGTGTCTCGTCATATCATAGATTTAGAGAACAAGACAATGGGAAAACGCTCCGATGGGAAAAAGGCAGAGCCCACGGCTCCAGCCAAATAGATCTAGGTTTCTTGACAGTGTTAGACCTAGATACATATATCCAAATCGCAGGGAGCATAAAATATTTGAAAAGAAATTAAGCTTCATGTATGCCTACTTGCAAATGAACTCAGGTGGAAAGTCTTTATCTCCACTTCTCACTTCTGAGAGAGGATGTTTTGTTCCTAGTTCCTGCTTGTGTGGATTAGTGTGGATTCTTCGCAATTTGTGGAGAGTAACTGCCCCTGACACTTGTCACATGACAACTCTGAAGAATACTAAAAAAAAAAACACATTCCAACAAGTGAAACAAACCGCAACCATACGAAGTTCTAGGACATTATGAAAACTTTTTAAATTGCTTTTCGTTATCTAATATAATTTAGACACTATTATAAAATCGTCCATAAACATACTTTTAACAATATTCTTTTTTAGTGATTATATAAAGTTCTAGGAAAGGTTTAAAACAGAAAAAAAAAAACACATTGGCAGTCAGAGAGCCAATCGAGAATTTTATTCCACTCGACGAACAGCAGGCCCAAAGTAAAAATAGCCAATCTTGTAAACACAACAGCCAAAATGAGGAAGTTAAAACAAGGAAACTTTCTTTCTGACTATGCGCCTTTTGTTGTCTAGAGGCAAAACCTTTATACTTTCTACTTTATGGGAATCATCTGACAAGTGTTGTGGGACAAACTTGTTCCAGTTGACAGTTGAGGTAAGGGAATACTTTGTTGGGAATGTCATTCTGAGTGTCTTTTACTTTTACTCTTACTTTTAGAAGTATTGACTAGATTCTATCATTCATAAAGGCAAATCTAAGATCTTGCAGATTTTCACACATATTCTGCTGAATTCGGGATAAGGTAAGGGTGAGGGTGTGGTTAGGGTAGGAATAACGCCTTGGCTGAGCCTTGCCCTAACCCAACTCTTACACAATAAAAAGAATCTAACAAGTCAAGTGTACTCACTATTTTACTTCAAAGTTTAGTAAGGAAGAGGCTAGCCGTACTTAGTCTAATGAGGCTGAGGGGCTCTCATGGCCTAGAGGTTAAGGTGTTGGCCTCTCATTCAAAAGGTCCCGGGTTAGAATCGGGGTAGCGACCAAAACATTTTCTTCTCTAAATTTGTCTCCTCTCACCTCATTTCCTGCTCTCTAGCAATGTTCTGTCATCTGCTTTCGTCTCCTCTTTCTGCCCCCACCCCCTAACCTCCTTGCCCCTTCCTCTGGGCTCCTGATTCTTTCTGCAGCCTTTCTACTGCTACTCCTTCGCTTCTTCTTACTGCTGTCTTTCAGCCACACCCCTGATCTTCTGGCAGGAAAGATCTACACCTAACCTTCTCGGACACGGGCAAAAAATCTCGGAGGGCCCGTGTGCAAGTTGCGCACGTTAAAGATCCCTTGGTGGTCTAAAATCGATAAGAGTAGGCTTCGGCCGCCACCCGGGCAAAATTCAGAATTTCCTACCAACTGAAAATATTAGGTGTGTCCCGCGCGCTCATCATGACCTTTTATGCAGACTTTGCGAGCGCCGTAAAACAATTTACAAAAACAAAATTAGAAGTCTGAAAGAGGGCTAGACTGCTAGGCTAGCCGTACTTAAGTACTGCTAGACTGGTTGGCTTAAGTACGTCTAGACAGCTGGGCAAACCATACTTATTCTTAATTTGATGGCTAGACTGACAATAAAAAAGGCCTACTGAATTGTGTAAGTTGGAAGAGGCTAGCCGTACTTAATGACTGACAGCTAGACTGCTAGGCTACTACTACTAGTTAGACTTCTGGGCTAGCCGAACTTTATTCTTAATATGATGGCTAGACTGACCATAAAAAAAGGCCTACTAAATTGTAAATAAATTTTGAGTTGGCAGTACCTAAAGTATATGTATCTGAGACGAAACCAGGTGCCTTAATGACAGTGCATACATGTATTTTAAACCTCCTGTTTTCTAATGTTAATTATAGGGCCTAAGGTAAGTACAGCTAGACTGGGAGTCTAGCCATACTTAAGTACGGTTAGACTTCTTAGCTAGCCGTACTTAAGGACGGTTAGACTTCTTAGCTAGCCGTACTTAAGGACGGCTAGGCTAGCCGTAACGGCTAGGCTAGCCGTACTTTTAAGTACGGCTAGACTGTCAGACTAGCCGTACTTTATTCCTGAAAAGCCTAAAGTATTTGTATTTCAGACAAAACCGAAAGGTGCCTTACTGACTTCTTGCATTATTTAAACCTAAATTAACTTCTAGATCTAAATCTAATGAGACATTATATATATATATATATGTGTACTCAACAGGTTCGAGTCGATACTCAACAGGTTCGAGTCGATAGGGCCAAACGTACATCTAAATATGGCTAGACTGGCAGTCACTTACGGCTAGCCACTTCGTTTTTAGTTTGCAGTACCTAAAGTACATAAATTTGTATTTGAGACGAAACCAGGTGCCTTAATGACAGTGCATGTATTCTAAACCTCCTGTTTTCTAATGTTAATAGGGCCTAAGATAAGTACGGCTAGACTGGCAGGCTAGCCGTACGGCTAGACTGGCAGGCTAGCCGTACTTGATAGCTGAATTGTAAATGAAATTTTTTGTTTGCAAAGCCTAAAGTATTTGTATTTCAGACAAAACCAAAGAGGTGTCACTGACTTGTATTATTTAAACCTGAATAACTACTAGATCTAGATCTAATGAGGCCTGTGTACTCAACAGGTTCGAGTCGATAGGGCCAAGCCTAGATCTAAGTACGGCTAGACTGGCAGGCTAGCCGTACTTTCTAGCCACTTCGTTAAAGTAAAGTACAGTCGAACCTGCCCTGACGGCCACCTGTACAAACGGCCACTTTCCATTTCCCCCCTTGCGTTTTTTCTATATAACTTAACTGTGTAAAACGGGCACCTGTCCGCCGCGGCCGCCTTATTTCAACACACAACCCCAATCACACCAAGCAATAACACCTGTCTTAGACGGCCACCTTTGTGATTCCATTACATTTTGACATAAATTGTGCATTGGCCCCTGGCATTGTGAGCAAGCCGTCATTATCCAATCACTTGTCGTTGTTACATTGACATTGACAATTTAGTTGTTTGAGGCTCAAAATAGAGCCTGTTCAACTATCTGGTAATGAATGACTATAATGCATTGCGTGCAGGCTAGAAAAAAATCGGTTTTGGCAAGTGGGGTTGTAAATAGTAGGGAGATCTTTCCAGTATTCGTCCAGCCGTCTCTTAAATGTGTCCACGTTTGGAGCTGACACCACTGATTCGGGCAGATTGTTTCAAATAGTATTAACCCTATTCTCAAAAAAGTTTGCCCTTACACACAATCTACTTCTTTGCTTCTGGAGCTTCTCTGAGTTGCCACGGAGTTGTGTGGTTGTTGCCTTTGTAAAAGCTGGTCTTTCGGTGCATGTAGTAGCCTTTGATGTACTTGTTCGTTTCAATCATATTACCACGTAACCTACGATGTTCCAGGGATGGAAGCTTTAGTTTTTTCAATCTTTCAGAATAAGGCTTTTCTTTGAGGTGACTCAGCATTTTGGTAGCCCGCCTTTGAACTTGTTCGATTTCACTACGTAGTCCTTTTTTCAAAGGGTTGCCAAACACAGTGTGCATACTCTAATAAAGGCCTCACTAAACTCTTGTAGAGCAAAACAAACATAGAAAGGTAGTCAAATGATCGCCTAATAAGTCCCTCCAACCGATCATGTTGCGTAGCCCCCCCCCCATTGTTGACCAATAGGTACCAATTTTCAGCTGCAGGTGAGGTAAGCGTGTGATCCCTCATAAGCCCGCCCAAAACTCATACACAAATCGTAAGTGAAATGAGTGGTCACTGTTTACCCAGTCTGTAACAAAGTAACAATGGAGGTCAACATGCACTTGCGACAGAAGCGTCGCTCGTTCTCCGAGTGGTGGGGACTCATGTGTTTGTTTTAACATGGCACTCGGTCTTCTTCGTCTTATACATTTCTTATTATTGTCACCCTTGCGCGAAATCAGCAACAAAATAAAAATAACAAAGGAAATACGAACCAACAACAAAAACAACAGCAATGCAGTTACTTTCGATTGGGACTTCAGATGGGAATGGTTTGTTTTCTTCATCTTGATCAGTCCTGCCTAAGTCGACCACCTGTCTTATACGGCCACTTTTCTCCTTGACAATGAGTGGCCGTCTTACACAGGTTTGACTGTAGTATGTCATAATGAGAGTGTGTAGCCAGTAGCCTACTACGCCAAACACGGCAAAGGACAATGGCGGACTCAAGTCCCAACAGCCTCCCACGGCTGTTCGGACTTGAGTCCGAATAGCATTCCATGGCTGTTCGGACTCTAGTCTGAACTCGAGTCCGAATAGCCCTGCATGGCTATTCAGACTCAAACTCCAATGCGCGTGCGCAATCACTAGGTCTAGGTGTACCGTATGAGAAGCAGACAAGCAAATCCACCTCGGACCTTAGCCTTCCTTGGTTTCTACGTTCTAGCAAAGGAGCTTACAACAACTAGCATCTGCGTTTGTTGCCATTTTTTTTTTTTTAAGTTGCCACAAAAATGGCAAAAGTTGCAAAAAAAGTTGCCATTAATTTTCAAGCTTTCAATCTCTATGATGATGTAGACTATATATAGCAGTATGTTGATATAGATAACTTAATCTAAGGCACCACAATTTCTTATGCAGAATCCAGAATATCATTTGTAGCCGCACAGAGTTTAAAAATGTGAAAAATAAAGGTTTCATAGTGGTTTTGTTTTTGTTTTTGATTTTTTTTTTTAATGCAAAAATCACGGCCCCGATTCGTAGACCAAAAAATGCCAAAAATCGCGGCGGCGATTTGCAGGTCGCGGCCGCAACAAACGCAGATGCTAGACAAATGGACGTCGACCGTGGTGACCCAGCGCGAACTGTGGTCTTTTCTTTACAAAGGATAATATAATAGTAGGGCAGGGCAATGGTATGGGAGGGAATATAGATCTTATGCACACAAAAAAAAAAGGGGGTGAAGGTGGTGAGGCAGGCGTGGGGAAGTAAGATGAAGAGAGAAAAAGTAAGAGAAAGAGAGAGAGAGGAAAAGTAAGAGAGAAAGAGGGGCGGAGGGGGGGGCTGTCTTATAAGGACTGATTATGAATTTTATGTTTTGATCCCTTTGTAGTCGTGAAACGCAGTGTAATAGCCTACTAGTAGTTTAAAGTCCGAATAGCAACAGGAGGCTATCTGGACTCGAGTCTAGACCTCGCTTACGATACAACCGGTGATTGCGCACGCACCCTTGAATTTGAGTCCGAATAGCCTCCAGTGGCTGTTCGGACTCGAGTCCGAATGGAGAAGATGAATGAAGAGTGCATGCGTATATATTTGATTTTGAAGTTTTAATGAAGTTTGAGGGGTAAATGAACCTTATATTCTATTTATGTATTATAATACTTTATTACATAGACTAAGTCCTGTGTATACAACTTGAAGGTTCCCCAGTGCTTCTGGTGGCGTTGTTAAACTACACCACCCGTAATCATTAGGACAATTAGTTTGCCAATTCGGTGCTTTGAGGCTCAACTGGAGCCAACAAAGTGCCCTTGGGAAAGGCACTTCAATATAGAGTTCTCCTCACTTCACCCAGGTATAGACAAGTAGGCTACCCAGCCATAGTCAATGAAAGATCTTGTCTATTTGCTAGTGTTGTTTCATTAAGCTGTGATATAAAATGATTAGGACTGCTTGGGTAGTAATTGTGTGGTGAAAAAGTTAAATATATATATATATATAAATTTACTCTTTATCTATTGTTATCGTTATTGTTATCCTCATCATTATTATTATTATTATTCTTTCTCATCAGTTAATAATAATAATAATAATAGATAGCATTTGTATAGCGCATATCCCCTTTCAACAGCAGGCTCTATGCGCTTTACACTATATTATTACCCCAGCAGACCATAGAACACTCCGAAACATTCTCAGCTTCCCGGGAAGCATACAGTGCAAGCAGCTGATTAAGCGCTCAAACACTAACAAACTTACAAGATCTTTCACTGTCTATAGCCGGGTACCCATTCCCACCTGGGTGAAGTGTGGAAAATTCGTGTAAAGTGCCTTTTCCAAGGACACAACGTCGGGCCACTGACGGGATTCGAACCCACGACCTTACGGTTGCGAGTCCGAGAGCCTAACCACTAGGCCACCGACGCCACAGTTAATGTGAATTGCACTGCTAGTTTCCCAATGATTTTCCCCGCAGTCACCAATATGGCGTACTTTGATGTGGCGGGCCTGGATGGGAGCCCACAGTTGCCCAGTATCAAGACGGAATACATGATTGACCGCGACAATAACTACATCGATGTGGACTTCCTGTTCCCAAATGGCATTCTACTTCCCTTCTCTGTGGACTACTTCTCTCCCATGGATCAGATCAAGAGTGTAAGTCTGGTGTCAGTTCATCGCTCATTTCTTGCCTGCTGCCTCAAAATGTTTGTTTTGTGTAACACACATGTCAGGGCTTCTAATTTGCCCTGAAAAGTAAACTGGTGGACATGTATCATGTCCTATGTTTGGTTCTTTGTAAAGAATTGTTGTCAATTTTTCAAGGTTTTTACAAGGATCACTTTCAAAAGTTTAGAGATTTGGGCTTTCCTTCTATTACCAGTTTGATTAACTTTACATCGAGCTCGGTTCAGGGCAGCATCTGATCAAGTTGGCTTTTTAAATAACATTCCAGTGTAATTTAACTGATAGCACATTTAGTCATTCTTGCTAGATATAGTCACTTCACTAGAAAAATGAGTAAAATGTTTTTTCTTTTTCTTGTAAAGCAGGGTGAAACAGAGTCCCTTATTTTCTTTGTGACACCTGCAACCTTTAATACACTTGAACCTGCCGCATATTTTAAAAAAATATTTTTTGAAAAATTATTATTAAAACTTTTTTTATTATTTTAAAAAAATAATTTTTTTTAAAAATATGTATACCTGCATGTGTTTTTACGGTTCTGTACAGCCAAGGAAAATTTCCCTCTGGGATAATAAAGTACTATGTTATCTTATCTTATATTGATATTTGGTAATTTGTGTATACAATATGTTCGATGAAGTTGTTATGTAATTTTTGATGATATTCTTGATGCATTATAAATTTGATAAGATTTTTAATGAAGTTTCTTTGATGTGAACTTATTGTTGTATTGTGGTTTGATCTTGACGGAAAGTTGTTTTCTTTTCTGTACTTTAAAAGCTTTTATTCTTTCCACTTTCTTTTTTTTATTCCCAGATCATTTGGAGGGAAGTCCACAACTACCCTCTGGCCGACAACTTACGGGCAGAAAACTCTTACAACTTTTTCTTCATCAACCGAATGGGGGAAAGGGTAAATCTTCATTTTCATTTTGATAGATAACAGTAAATTTTCTTTCTCTTGTTTGTTGATCTTTAGTCTCAAAGTATGTATTAAAGTCGCCCCTGCAGGTGGGGGGGCTCATAGTTTTACTATGGGGGAGTAAAGAATACACCTGCCGTGATACTGTGTGTCGTAAGAGGCGACTAAAAGTGCATAGGTCTGGCCACCTGAAAAGTGACAGTTTGCGGAGGGCCAACTACCCGACCCAGTAAAAAAGGAAAGTTATAGAAACACGAACAAACATGCCTTATAATTTTTCCATCTTGGGAGATGGAGGAGCTTCTGCATCAGCAGGAAATCAAACGACAAGCCCAGGATAGGGAAAGGTGGAGAGTGTTTGTTCGTGGCCTATATCCTGACCCAGGGTGAGAAAGGCAATGATGATGATGATGTATTAAAGTGTCTGTTTATAAATTATGTGTTCTTTAAACGATTGAAAGGTTAGTTTTTATTTTATGATATTTGGGGGGGGGGGGGAGGGGGGGGGTAACAATAGTCTCTCAAAGCAGTAAGAACTTTTTATTAAAAAGGAACTTCAGAAATCTGAGAGCAAATATGTATGTAAATTTGTGGAAGAACTTAAAAGTGTTTACCGTGTGAATGTCGAATATATATAGGTTCTATATGACATGTTTTACAGGAAGACGTGATGGTCGGAGGTAAGGGGGAGAGGGCTTACGGTGTGAGTGTGAACTATTATAGATAGGTTCTGTATGATGTATTTTTTCAGGAGGAAGTGATGGACGAGAGTCAGAACCTGGAGGAGTTGCAGCCCTTCCTGGCAATGTTTCAGCTCGTGGAGAACAAAGAAGATGACCGCTCCAAGACTCTGGACAAAAAAATTGACCACTTGATCGGTCGTGGTAAGTCCTCAAATTGCTACCTTAGAATGACAAAATTCTGTCTGACGTTTTTTACCGTTTTGAATTACTAAGACCATGAAATCAGAAACCAAATGTTTTATCTGCTCTATCAAAATCTTGAGATTATCCTGGGTTATTATAGAGATATTCAAAGAATTGCATTCGCATAAGCATGACATGCTGTAAAACTATAAGTTTTTTACTTCACATTTCTCAAAACTAGGAACTGAGCTGAGAGAACTGTGCAATTCTAGGGTAGAGAAATGCTAAGACTTGTTTGAGATTGTGTTACCGCATGAAATATTCAGATTTTCTTGGGGCATTAGTCGAATAAAGTTAGCATTGCCAATCATGTATGCCTCTGGGGCCAGAATTTGGGTCTCCACTGAAGGTCTATTTTTGGATTGTTCTGGAATCTTTATCGCTTTCTCAAAGTTTGCAGTGATCTTCCAATGAGCCCAAATAAAGAAACGTTTTTATTACTGGATGAAGATTTTTTTTTTTTAAATACTCGTATTTTGGTTTGGTCGCTCGCCTACTGAAGTACCATGCAAAGTTATGTGTGCACTGGCAAATTAATAAATCCGTTAGAATTTTTTTGACATGCTCAGACGAAAGTGAATAAACTATATCATTGTACGTCCTGCCTCCCTACAAGCCAATAGTCGGGGTTTTCCCTGTAGTGCATTGTAGTATGTTGTAGTGATTATAGTATGTTGTAGTATGTTAAAGTATGTTGTATTTTATGTGATAGTTGAGGCTGACTCTGGTCTCAAGATTTGTCTTAGAACGCTGCACCTCTCAAGATATTATGTCTTAGAATGCTGCACCTTTTTGCTTTCCTTTACCAGGTATTCAGAAGCAAGAATCATTTCAAACAGCCGAGATAAACCACTTCAAGCAGAAAATGTCGGAGATGGCAAGAGAAATCACCATATTGAGGCGAGCAAAGGTGGGTAGCCATGTAGTCGCTCAGAGGCCAAGCTGATCAGAGCAAAGGTTTTTTGAAAGAGATTTGGGTTGGTGGTTGCGGGGTGCTCTTTTGTGATTTGGTTCTTCGTTCCTATCAAACATCTGTTGTCCTGATCTCTCCTACCTCTTTTTTATGTTTTTTACTCTCTTGTCACACCTCTATTCTTTGGCTTGTATATTATTATGACCTTATTGTGTTGCAAGTGCTGTAAAACTCTTACTAAAACTAAAAAACTGTAGGCAAAGATTTGGGACTGGAGAAAATAGACCTGGTTGTCAGAAGTTTGTGTGTTTTGGTTGAGGGTATAAATCTGTGCTGTTGTCTGTCATTGCAACATGTCTTTTTGATGACGTGCATTCGAACGATTCTGAAAACCTCTCAAAATTTTAGTGTAGCCTGTGGCCATCCCACCCGTGTGGTTCTCGGGGCCCTGACCAAGAGACAGGGGAGCAAAGAATAGGACCACTGTATCCGTACCGCGCATGTCGTACAAGGCGACTAAGGTCGGTTGGGCAAAGGGTTAGCAGCCCTTTCCCATAAAACAAAAGCAGCTACAAAAACATCAACAGCAAAAACAACACGACCGCCAGTTCTGGAAGATGGAGGACCTTCATCACCGAGGAGAGGAGAGAATAGGGAGTGTAGAATGGCGGGGACATCATGGAAACAGATAGAAAAGGATGCTCAGGACAGGCTTCGCTGGAGTAATGTTGTTGATGGCCTGTGCTCCACTGGGAGTTAAAAAGGGCAAGAGAGAGAGAGTGGCCATCTGGAAAGTTTTGCTTCGTTTTTCAGTTGTTAAATTTAAACTTTCGATTCAGCAGTAGAACAAAGGAAAATATTTGGATAAAGAATTTAAACTGTGAGAGAAGCGCTTTGTGTTAAACCCTAGCTCACCTCTGTCCTTAGGTGGTCCTGTCGTATATCTGGTTGGTACAACTAGATGCTTGTCAGTTGTTTTTTTTGGAAGTTAAAGAGCTCAGAGTGTTGCATACCCCGCAGGGCAGTGCCATTGACTGTAGTGTCTTCAGGCCATTTCCAAATGGGGGACATTTCTCGTTCAAGCATAGTAGAATTGTAAATGGGCTGACTCATGTCACGCTCATAACTGTGCCTGATCTACAACAGGGAACTGCTGCTTTTTCTTTCCTGATCCTTACTATTGTCATTTTCCTCTACTTCTTTTGTATGTTTGTCACTCTCTTGTGACCTGCTTTTGCCAGGGTGCCTTGATAGTCGAAGCAGACAGACTTTGTGCTGTTGAAGCTAGAGAGGTGAGCAGTTTAAGTCTGATTCTCTGTAAAGACTTCTCTGTTGACACCCACCCCTTGGTGCTCATATGACCTTATGCAGTTGCGAGCGCCGTAAAACCCTCTACTATTAAAAAAAAGAGTGTTGCAAGTGCCGTAAAACACTTACTAAAACTAAACTGAAAGAGCACAGTAACACACTAATAGATTCTTTGATAAAACATGCATACTCAAAGATATCTTCATACACACATTTGCACATAAACGCACATATACTCACATGCGTACTCACACACATACACCCCTCCCCCTTAGAAATTCCAGTTAAGAGCAACCTCCGCCTTAGAGCGACCAAGGCCTACTTCACCAAGGGGTTGCTGTTAAGTGGACACCTCTGTGCAACTTCTTCTGTGCTTTAGAGTAATCAAAGAAGAACAAGTAGAGAACATAGAAAACCCCCCCACTAAAGCAGATCTATGTGGCAGAGGATAATCAGGAACGGAAAGGAACCGCTGTATGGCAGAGCTTATAATGTCAACTTTCTGTGTGTGTATGTTTGTTTGTTTGTTTGTGTGAATGCAGGTGTATATGTGTGTATTAGGTAAATGGGAGGGTGGATGAGTCGGTAGGTAGATAGCTGGGTGGGTGGGTGGTTAGGTAGGTAGGTTGGTGGGTAGGCAGGTCGGTAGGTAAGTGAGTGGTCAGATAGGAAGGCAGGTTAACCAAATTTCCGCTGGGTAATCAGTAAATTGGAATGTATTATTTATTTACTCTATTCTTTCACAGACAAATGAACAAAACTTTCATTTATTTATTACTTTGTTCCTCAACATACATAGATGGAAAACTTTTCTGTTATTTATAACTTTATTCCTCAACATACATAGATGGAAAACTTTCAGTTGTTTATTGATTTTTTCCTCGACCTACGTCGATGGAAAACTTTTAATACTTTATTCCTTGGCATACATAAATGGAAAACTTTTACTACTTTATTCTTCGACATAGATAGATGGAAAACTTTCTATTATTTATGACTTTGTTCCTGTACAGAGCCCCATGGAAAAGTTCCAGTGGAAGTATCCGGTGAGGTTACGTAGTCACGACTTTATACCGTCACAAGTAGAGAGTCGCATCGTTAACGGAGCCATCGTTGTGGACATCGGCTTTGGAGAGGCCAAGGTCAGTGGGACTGTTTGTGTGTATTGTCACAGTGGGACTGTTTGTGTGTTTTGTACTGTTTGTGTGTTTTGTCACAGTGGGACTGTTTGTGTGTTTTGTCAGTGGAACTGTTTGTGTGTTTTGTCAGTGTTACTGTTTGTGTGAATTTGACAGTGTGTTTGTGTGTGTGTATGTGTGTGTGTGTATGTGTGTGTGTGTGTGTGTGTAATGGGCAGTGCGGTTATTTGCATAAAAATGTACTATGTATATTTCTCCTCCCCGTGTCTAGATATATGCTAGAGTTGTACGTATATTTCCTCACACTTGTGTAGATGAGCTACTGTTATACGTATATTTCCCCAACGTGTCTAGATATGCTACATTTGTGTGTATATTTCCCCACATGTGTGTAGATGTGTTACAGTTGTATGTATCTTTCTCCACTCTGTGTATATTTCTCCACTCTGTGTATATTTCGCTACCCTGTGTCTAGACTATGCTACAGTTGTATGTATATTTCTCCACTGTGTGTCCAGATGTGCTACAGTTGTGTGTATATTTCTCTGCGTCTAGATGTGCTACAGTTGTATTATATTTCTCTGTGTCTAGATGTGCTACAGTTGTGTGTATATTTCTCTGTGTCTAGATGTGCTACAGTTGTGTGTTTTTTCTTCACCCTGTGTCTAGTTGTGCTACAGTTGTGTGTATATTTCTCTGTGTCTAGATGTGCTACAGTTGTGTGTATATTTCTCTGTGTCTAGACGTGCTACAGTTGTGTGTTTTTTTCTCTGTCTAGATGTGCTACAAACTGCGGGTCAGCCACAATGGCACACCGGAGGATGCGGTCAAGATGGCTCTGAACAAGAAAAGGACCACGCTCGGAACGCCGCTCGAGGACTCCAAGCTTTATATTCTCAAGGTCATTGGGCAAGAGGAATATTTGTACGGAGAACACTCGCTGATTCAGTTCAAGGTAAGGGTTAGGTTCATTGTATGAATTGTGTGTGTGTGTTGGAGGGGGGGAGGGGGGGAATACAATTAATTGCTGATTTAGTTCAAGGTTAGGTCAGAGTTCACAAAACAGTTCACTTTGTGAACTTCTTGACAACAGATATATCTATATAAATATCTATATATATGTATATGTATATATCTATATATATATATGTGTGTGTGTGTGTGTGTGTGTGTGTCAGCTAGTGTGTTATTTGTCTGTTTGTATCCCCCAGTATATGAACCAGTTTGTGTACCAGTGTGTGTATTTGTTTGTTTGCATTTTCCCCAGTATGTGTACCAGTGTGTGTATTTGTTTGTTTGCATTTTCCCCAGTATGTGTACCAGTGTGTGTATTTGTTTGTTTGCATTTTCCCCAGTATGTGTACCAGTGTGTGTATTTGTTTGTTTGCATTTTCCCCAGTATGTGTACCAGTGTGTGTATTTGTTTGTTTGCATTTTCCCCAGTATGTGTACCAGTGTGTGTATTTGTTTGTTTGCATTTTCCCCAGTATGTGTACCAGTGCCTGGTAAAGAACACGGCCCCTCAGTTCTGGATGGTTCGCAAGGACACTTTGCCAGGTCAGTGCGGGCATGTTAACTACTGTGTTCTCTCTCTCTCTCTCTCTCTTCTGGCGCTGTGGCTTCATAAACGGTCAGCGATGCCGACAGCACGCAGGAACTCAACACTCGCCCGGGGGTCCTTAAAAAGTGCTGAAAGTGGGTTACTGAAATGTCCCAGCAGACAGGTTCTAGCACGATAGCTGGCGGGACATCTCAGGAACACATGGTCCATAGTTTCGTCCTCCTCCTTGCAGGCTCGACAGGACGGATCTGGGTTGTCTGCTGGCGCAATTTTGTGGAGATATGATCTCAGCTTGGGCGATTTTCCACCAGTTCTCATTTGGGAGAGAAGCCGGCGGTCCTGCCATCTGAGCGAGGCCTCAAGCTGGTATGACGGCGGCTGGGCAAACGGCAGTTTGGGTTTCGCCTCTCTTTTCCACTTTGCGCGGGTCGATCGGTGGATGATGTTGTTGTGTTACAGGGGGCACAGGTGGGGGAGCACTCACATTAACCCGTTCAAAGTTAGATGTGTGGGGTGGTAGCTTGGGAAGAAAACATCCCCTCAGATCGGTTAGTTTTCTACAGAAGAACGGATGATGTTCCACTGTCTCTGAGGGGTAGTCACATAGTGAGCAGGCTGCAGACTGCTTTACTCCAATTCGGTTGAGATGTTGATTGAAGGACACATGTTCTGTTGTAAGTTGGAAGATTATGGATTGTTCTCCCCTCCTCAATTCATTGATTGGATCTTTGACCAGTGCTTTCTTCATATGGCCATACATCATCCTTCATGTCATCTATGGCCCATGCGTTCATCCAGTTTTCTTTGAGGCATCTCATTATCTTAACATGATCATACACTTTGTGTCTGTCGGAATTTTATGACGGAATTTTCGTGGGTGGTTGGTGGGTGTTCTGGTGTGGTTTGCTCCTTCTTTCCTATCAAAGATCTATCCTCTTTATCTCCCCTTCTTTTTTTATGTTTGTTACTCCCTTGTAACACCTCTAATCTTCTGGCGCTTATATGACCTTATGCAGTTGCGAACGCCGTTAAACCTCTACTAAAACAAAACAAAAATACTTTGTGTCTGTCTGGATTTTATGACGGAATGTTCTGTTGTCACCTGGCAGAGGCCACGCCCCCTGTGCCATACCGCCCCACCCCCAGCCCCATCCTCCACCAGGACTCTGTGAAAAGCAATGACATCATCGTGTGGAACATCAAGGTGCCGTACAAGATACAGGTGCAGGGTATCTCAAAGCTACAGCTGGCGGATGGCACCAAGGTGACCCCTCTGTGTGTGTGTGTGTGTGTGTCAGGGTGTGTCTGTGTGTCAGGGTGTGTGTGTGTGTGTGTGTGTTGTGTGTGTGTGTGGAACATTAAGGTGCCGTACAAGATACAGGTGCAGGGTATCTTTAAGCTACAGCTGCCGGATGGCACCAAGGTGACCCCTCTGTGTGTATGTGTGTGTGTAAGAGTGTGTGTGTATGTGTGTCAGGGTGTGTGTTGTGTGTGTGTGTGGAACATCAAGGTGCCGTACAAGATACAGGTGCAGGGTATCTCAAAGCTACAGCTGGCGGATGGCACCAAGGTGACCCCTCTGTGTGTGTGTGTGTGTGTGTGTGTGTGCGTGTGTGTGTCAGGGTGTTTCTGTGTGTCAGGGTGTGTGTGTGTGTGTGTGTTGTGTGTGTGTGTGGAACATCAAGGTGCCGTACAAGATACAGGTGCAAGGTATCTCCAAGCTACAGCTGGCGGATGGCACCAAGGTGACCCCTCTGTGTGTATGTGTGTGTGTAAGAGTGTGTGTGTATGTGTGTGTGTGGTGTGTGTATGGTGTATGTGTGTGTGTGTACTTATGTTTGTGTATATGTGTCTTGTGTGTGGTGTGTGTGCACGTGTGTCTGTCTGTTTGGTGTGTGTGTGGTATACGTGTGTCTGTCTGTGTGGTGTGTGTGTCTGTGAGTATGTATGTGAATGTGTGTGTGTTTATGTGTGTCTGTGTGTGTGTGTGCATGTGTGTCTGTCTGTGTGGTGTGTGTGTGTGTGTTTGTGTTTATATGTGTGTATATTGGTGTCTATGGCTTTGAAAATTGTTGTTGTTGTTATAGACAAGATATGTTCTGTGTTATACGTATCAACACCTATGTTTATGTCTTACTATACATGTACCAACACTTGTGTAAAAACCATCGGTGTGGGTGGTTGGCGGGTGCTCTGGTGTGGTTTGCTTCTTCTTTCCTATCAAACGTCTATCGTCCTTATCTCCCCTTCTTCTTTTTTATGTTTGTTACTCTCTTGTAACACCTCTAATCTTCTGTCGCTCATATGACCTTATGCAGTTGCGAGCGCCGTAAAACCTCTACTAAAACTAAACTAACTAAACCATCTGTGTGGGTGGTTGGCAGGTGCTCTGGTGTGGTTTTCTCCTTCTTTCATATCAAACATCTGTCGTCCTTTTCTCGCCTCCTTCTCTTTTGTGTTTGTTACTCTCTTGTAATACCTCTGATCTTCGGCACTTATATGACCTTATTGTGTTGCAAGTGCCGTAAAACTGTTACTAAAACTAAACTAAAAAACCCCATAAGTGCTCAAATGGTGTGAGAGACTACGTTTGTCCTTTTGTCTCCTCTACCTACTTACCGTGACTGGTAACATTGTTTGTAACTTCCACTATGTTACTGTAGTTGGTAGACTTTTAATTAACATTCTTGACTTTTCTGACTGTTTTGACACAACAGGTCAAGTTTGTTTGACTTATGTATTTACAGCACACGGTAATGTTTTGACACTACTGTTAAGTTGTTTGGCTTATGAGCCAACTGTAAAATGGTACCATTTTGACACTTCAGGTGTACTATTTTGACACTACAGGTAAAGTTGTACTTGGGTGTTCACGTATTGTAAACGGTACTATTTTGACACTTCAGGTTAAGTTTTATGTGGGTGTTCTTGTATTATACTCTGTACTATTTTGACACCACAAGTAAAATTTTATTTGGGTGTTTATGTAACGGTATTGTACACGTTACTATTTTGACACGACAGGTAAAGTTTTATGTGGGTGTTTATGTATTGTACTGTACACTGTATTACTTTGACGCTACAGGTTAAGTTGTAGATGGGTGTTCATGTATTGTAAACGGTACTTTTTTACACCACAGGATAAGTTGTACATAGATGTTCATGTATTGTACATTGTACACAGTACTATTTTGACACCACAGGACAAGTTGTACATGGATGTGTATGTATTTTACATATATTACTATTTTGACACCACAGGATAAGTTGTACATGGATGTTCATATATTGTACACAGTACTATTTTGACACCACAGGATAAGTTGTACATGGATGTGTATGTATTTTACATATATTACTATTTTGACACCACAGGATAAGTTGTACATGGATGTTCATATATTGTACACAGTACTATTTTGACACCACAGGATAAGTTGTACATGGATGTGTATGTATTTTACATATATTACTATTTTGA